GAGGAGAGAGATGGAGAGGAGAGAGAGAGAGATGTTATAGATGTGCCAATTGCTGAAAAGACCCCCACGATAAGGGAATGGCAGGCCAAGTTTTTTGAATATACAGAATTAGCTCTAAATGACTTACAGAATCCGAGGACCAAAAGGGACAAAAGTTTGAAAAAGAGTGAGTAAATTTGTGTTGGCATAATGTAAGAATTAACTGTAGAAGCTTAAAAAACGGATAGCAGGGTTAACATAAATCCTTGTGATGTGTATTAGAAGGTGAATATGAATCTAAAAGAGAAGACATATATTTAGAAAACCGAAGCGGGGAAGGAAGGTAGTCTGGCGAGGTGATATACACAGTGTAAATAAGACGACATAAAATTGGTGACTTTAAAAAGATTGTTTTATTTTTAGTTGGTGAAAAATTCATAAAAAACATTTTTAAAAAAAAAAGCTTATGTTTAATGATTGTTGAAATTTGATTACATTTAGAGAAAGAGAGAGGCGAGAGATGTTTCAGGGTTGCCATTTGCTGAAAAGACTTCATGCTGGTTGGGGGAAATATACGCCTGGTCTGTGCATTTTTCATTAATCCTCGGCCTATTAGTGAAAGTTGATGCATTTTTCCATCTATTATAAAAATATATGATGGGTTATTAATTGCTTTGATTTCGCTGTTAGCTCCTTGATCCTTTCTGGCGGGGGGGTGGGGGTGGACGACAAATGTTTTAAACGAAATAAATAAATACCTATCGGCTTCACAGGGTTGTCATAAGGATAGTGGGAAAGAAACACATGAGAAAATCCCTGAGTTCGTCTTAGGATGGGGGGGGAGATTTAAATAAATTCCCTTTCTATTAAGCTAATCAGCGCAAGCAATCTATCAGATGCACTTCGTTATTTATTTCAGGGCTGTGCGCTTTGGGGAAACGGGTTGCACTGTGGAGCTTTGCGAATGCTCTTGAAGGTCATTTAAGGTTTTATTAAAGTATTTGTTCAGTAGCTTGGTTGCTCTCCATCAGTTGATGGTGCTTGTCACACGTTACTTGACCACCAGGGGGAGAAAGATTAGAAACCATCACTGCGGTTTACAGGAAAAGTTACAGTGGTTACCTCAGGTTAAGTACTTAATTCGTTCCGAAGGTCCGTACCTTAACCTGAAAACTGTTTCTTAAACCTTGAAGCACCACTTTAGATAACGGGGCCTCACGCTGCGCTGTGCCGCTGCCACACAATTTCTGTTCTCATCCTGAAGCAAAGTTCTTAACCTGAGGTACTAATTCTGGGTCGTTAGTGGAGTCTGCAACCTGAAGCGTATGTACCTGAAAGCATATGTAACCCGAGGTACCACTGACCACATTTTAGCAAAAGGGAGGGGGAGAAGAAACCAGAATTACCCTGACGGTTTAAGCAAACTTTACCAAACCCCCACAACTGTTGCCAGGCCAACCAGACCTGGCAGGGAAGGTGCAAAAAACTTTGAAATATTCAGGGTAACAGTGCAAAAGCAGGAATTGCTTCATGAATTGTGGGTTTAAGTGCTTGTAACTCAGTACTTGGGGGGGGGGTTGCCAGGTGGTATACATATTTTGTGAATCTTTGTACTTTTGTACATTTACTGATATTTATTTCCCCCGATTTGACTATTAAATGGTGGTTTTCTTGAGACAAAAATGAGAGTACCCCTAAATTTTTTAAAGAAGGAAAAGCACTTCTTACTCATATAAAAGGTAAAGGTAAAGAGACCCCTGACAATTAAGTCCAGTCACGAACGGCTCTGGGGTTGCGACTCATCTGCCTCTATAGGCCGAGGGAAGCCGACGTTTGTCCGCAGACAGTTTTTCCGGGTCATGTGGCCATCATGACTAAAGCCGCTTCTGGCGAACCAGAGCAGCCAAACGGAAACACCATTTTACCTTCCGCTGGAGTAGTTACCTGGTTATCTATACTTGCACTTAGATGTGCTTTCGAACTGCTAGGTTGGCAGGAGCAGGGACGAGCAACAGGAGCTTCATCCCATTGCGGGATTCGAACCGCCGACCTTCCGATCAGGCAAGCCCAAGCAGCACAGTGTTTCTTTAACACAGTTTGCCACCCACGTCCCTATATTTAACTGTTTAATCCATTTCTATGTATCTGGGTAACTCCGCTACAAAGATGAGAGTGAGGTAAGTGACCAGATTTTGGTGTATTTTTTAAACCTTAGACCCCGTCAGGCACACTGAGAGGTCTTGTTATGATCACCTGTATTGGCACCATGGTTATGTACTGAGTTGAATAGGATCCAAAAATTGCAGCAGTCTGATTGGCCCTTAGGACAAATTGGATTTCAGAACTGCGCAGTCTGATTGGCCCTAGAACAATTGATCAGAATGCACCTGCAGTCTGATTGGTCTAGACAATAGGGATCCAGATGCGCAGTCTGATTAGGTCCATAGGGCCACCCATCCAGCTCCAGGTGGAAGTGAATCCGCAAACCTGATTGGCCTACAGGTGCCAATCCAGAATTAGCCATCACGTGGCCCTTGTGATAAATAATGTATATAAGCAGACATTCTGGGGGAACTTGTCCATTCCTCCTTCACCACTAATGAGCTAAATAAAGAGCATGAAATCCACTCTGACTCCAAGTATATTTCACACCTTTTTCAGTCACCCAATCAGCAAGGTACTGCAATTAAGTGAATGGGAACCTGCTAATTGCTTGATGATCGATTGATTTTACTTATAGCCACTTTTCCACAATTGTTGCCATGCCCAAAGCGGGCTTACATACGAACATCCGAAACATCAAAAGAGAACTGTGGAAATTGTGATATACAAATACAAAACATGTCAACCAAATGGCAAAATAAGTAAGAGAAATCAAACAATTCAGCAAATTACAGAATAAATTAATATTATGAAAAGAAGAAGAACAACAGCACCAAGTGGCTCAAGTACTGACAAAAGTTAAACTGACAATAAAGTTTCTGGCAATGGTATTGCTTATCCTTCACTCCAGAGGGAAAGGGGGCAAAAAAAGATTTTTTTCTGGGGTGCTCTGAGAGATCTTGTGAGAGAATCCAAGGATCTATCTGAACATTCCATAAACTTCTCCAAGCAGGTTGCACTGGGCAGGCAATACTTTCCCAAAGCAAGCTGGAGACCTTAGAAATAATAATAATAATATTATAATTTATTATTTATGCCCTGCCCATCTGGCTGGGTTTCCCCACGAATGTGTGGCTCCATAATAATAATAAATAATAATAATAATAATATAATAATGCAAAAAACATCAAGCATTAAAACAGGGCTGCTTTCAGATGTCTTACGTTACAATCAATATATTATCAGACCCTCCAAGTGTCCTTATTTTCCAGGGACAGCCCCAAGATTTAGATTGAGCAAAACTGCATTCAAAGCGCATGTATATATGAGGAGAAACCGACACAAAAAATGCATGTGAAAGCTTCTTCAGATTTTTTTCTTAAAATAATATTAATGCAACTTACGGTTGGCAAAATGAGGAACCGAATGTACAGGGTTTCGTGTGGGGTTTTTATTATTTGTTATGAGGTTTTCCAGCCATCTCGAGAGCAAAGCAAACTCTCACTTCAATTGAATCACACCCGGTAGGAGCCAAACCCATAACTGGGATGGTTTAAAATACTCCCCAAGCGCCAATTAGCCAAGGCTGTAGCTGAACAGATTCCAGAGCTCATCTCT